TTTTTTTTTACAAGGATCACAAGTGGAGGGCTGTCTCCCAAAAGCCAAAATCAATACTTCATTGGCAAGGCAAGGGAGATTTAAAAATGAATCACTTTAACAAAATTCCATAAACATTATTATTGCTCAAAGACCATAGATCTAAGGTAAAAGACAAAAAAATATGCTGTCAACTTTATCTTTAGCTTTACCTACGCTTTGGGATTTTAAATTTGGTAAATTCTTAGAAAAGGTTGTTCTAGCTATAGCTAGACAGAAATATGAAACTATATATTACTATTTCAACCGTTTACCATTTCTTCTTCTTCCACTAATTGAAAATATGAAATTACAAAGCCTTGCCAATTTGAAAACAAAAAAATACATTTGGAAGGAAGGAAGTCCTTGCGTGAATGAAGGTGTAAAAAGGTGTAGTCAAAGTACGCAAGCCATGGGTGGGACGGGTCTCTTGTGGATGGAGCCATCGACAGAGGAGGGCCCGGTGCCCACCGCCATCCACTATCGCATTCCCACATTCCCTTAAAAATACAGTGAAAATGCCAAACGTTCCAAAGTTCCACCAGCAGCCTTTTAGGGGTCTTTTGCAGAACCCAATGCATAATAATTCACATTTTACTTTATCTGTGGTTGGTTTTGGTAAGGAAAAGGAGAAAATAAAAATATACAGTCCCCTTAGGTTATGCTTTAAGGTGGAAATGAAGAATAAAGTCTAATTATAGGGGTTAATTGAGTGAAGGTTTAAAGGGGGTTTGGGGTTGGAGTTGGAAACTAACCCCTTGTCACTCCTTGGGTTTAAAGGGTTGGTTTTTGTGGGAAAGAGAGCAAAAGGCTGCAGGGATGAGATTATTGGAGGAGAAAAGAGTTTTTACCTTTTGCCGGTGGCAGGGACATGGATTAAAAAGTACAGTCCCTTAACGGATGCCGTGCCGCAAATCATCAGAATTCCCTAAGAAACAAACAAATCATAAAGTGGTACCCGCTGCAATGTGCACGAAATGTTTTGCTAGTAGAGCGGAATTATTGCGTTTAGAGTTTGAGTCATAAAGTTGCTT